GCCTTGAGTCGGGGAACTGGATTCCTCTCCCTGTCAAGCAGCTGATGGGAGGCCTGAGTTGGGAATCCGGGAGGCCCCACAGCTCTTTGTGATGAATCTGGTAGTTTCCAGAGCCAGGGAGCAAGATGTTTTTGAGGGATTGAGGCAGGGAGGTGGGAGACTTCCTCTTTGTGCAGAGATTAGGGTGGTCTCCATTAGAGTGTGTGAGGAGAGGTTTTCAGAATAGGCAAGTCCTTCTCCTCGAGGCCTGCGCTGAGTGGCCTGCGGTCAGAGAGTTGTGAGGGACCTCTAAGAACCCCAGCAGTCTAAACCCTTGCACAGCAGAGGCCCGAGAAAGGAGGGGAAAATTCCAACTGCACGGCACTGACCAGAAAGCCTTAGAGCCAGTGTGCTGCCGGCCATGATGTTCTGGAGGTGGGGCTGGGATCCTCACGTCTGGATATTGGGGAGGTGGCCACCTTCCCTCAGTGAGGACCCCACACATTCTGGTTGCCTCTTGCTTCCTTGGAGGCTGGATGCTATGCTATTGGTTACGGGGCAAACCTCTGCCTCACTCCTGGCTGTAGCCCAGGCTTTTTCTGTAGGCTCTTCTAAGAAGCCTGAGGCTGATACCTAGGTCGTGGGACAGAGAGGGACAGCTGTTGCTGGGGTCCTGGAAGAGGTTGGGTGGGGCTGACATTTCTACCTCATTGAGGAGTCAAACCCATGAGTTCCTTCCTGAGATAAAACAATGAAGAAATCCTCGTGTGTGCAACTCGGAAATGCAAGTCAGGCCAGGACTTGGAACCCCAGACAAATGGGCTGGGGTTGGGGCTCCTAGACTCCTACTAAGACCTCTCATTGGTTATGTAGTTTTGGGCAGGTGCTTCAAGGGTCACATGGATTCATCCTGTTTGGCTTGGTCTCCGTGTCTTGAGACAGGATCCACCCCTGATGTCCCACAGAAGGGGTGTGGGTGGGGTTGGGTAAGCTCCCCTTTGAGGAACCTCAGGAGTGGCTCATGCTCATTCTGTCTCTTTAAGAGACTTGGCTGAGATAGATGCAGGGCCAGGGAGGGATAGGCTAGTGACCGTAGACCTTGCAATTTAGTCTTTCTGCGTCAACTGATGTTGGCCTGACATTCATGGGAAGATGGGGGATGTCATGTCATTCTAGCACCCAGGAATGATAATAGATGCTCAAGAAAATGCCCTGAACTCATCATCCCAAGGTGCCAACCCCTGCGGCCAGAGGCAGAACTGCTCCTCTTCTGCCGTGTCCTTACCCCTTTGCCAGCCACTGACTCCATGCTCACGCCCTTTCCCCAGGAGTGGGAGGTGCTGGTCCTGGGGAAGCTCAAGTGGGACCTCGCTGCTGTGATTGCACACGACTTCCTGGCTCTGATTCTGCACCGCCTTTCTCTGCCCAGTGACCGTCAGGCCTTGGTCAAAAAGCATGCCCAGACCTTTTTGGCCCTCTGTGCTACAGGTGAGAGCCTTGGACATGTTTTTCCAATCTGGGAAAATCAGGATTTGAAGGCTAAGTAGTAAACCAGGAGATTGTTTCCATATTCAGACCTATTTATATGGGATCTTGGTGATCCTGGGATGGAGGTGAGGTATTGTACAATGGGAGTGACTTGCCTAAGGTCCCCGCCCTAGGGTTTTGGGCATTCTCTAGTTCCTGGCCAGGTCCAGCCTGGGTAGATGGAGACTTTGCTGTCCTCTCAGATCTCAGGTTGGGTTGGGTCAGATGCCAGCACCATGCACACGCACCAAACCCTCCCCTTGTCCCTGAGTCACCCCACCCACCACTGAAGAGTCCCAATATGCTGCATTCACGCACGCTGTAACAGGGAATAGGAAGTATATGATGGCTCTTCTCACGGCTCCTTTTCTCTTACAAGATTACACCTTTGCAATGTACCCTCCATCCATGATCGCCACAGGCAGCATTGGGGCTGCAGTTCAAGGCCTAGGAGCCAGTTCCATGTCTGCAGATGAGCTCACAGAGTTGCTGGCAGGAATTACAGGCACTGAAGTGGTAAGTCTCAGGCCCCATTCACAAAAAGCAGTGCTATCCCCCAAACCCCCAGAAGAGGGCAGCATCCAACCCACCCCAAGTCCAGTTGTACAACCTTGCTTCTGTGGCCTTCCATCTGCCTCTGGAGAGGACCGGGTGGGGTGAAGGGCACACATGTAGCTGTCCCTCTCTTGCCAGTGGCATGCTGCGCCAGGGGGTGGGGGACTTGGCGTCAGGTGCAGGGCTGCTCACACCCTTGCCACATCCTCTCGCCAGTTTCTGAGAACTGAGCCCCGATTCCTGGGCTGGGCTGTGGCCTAACCTCCCCGACTTCCCGGTGTGCAAAGGGTTCGCCTTTCCCTCCTTGTACCTGCCTGTCCCCCTGACGCTGCTGTTCTTCCTAGGACTGCCTGCGGGCCTGTCAGGAGCAGATCGAAGCTGCGCTCCGGGAGAGCCTCAGGGAAGCTGCCCAGACAGCCCCCAGCCCAGTGCCCAAAGCCCCCCGGGGCTCTAGCAGCCAGGGGCCCAGTCAGACCAGCACTCCCACAGATGTCACAGCCATCCACCTGTAGCTTGGGACAGGCCCCCTCAGCTGGCCACCAAGCAGAGGAGGGGCCACTGCCACCCCCTCCCTTCCTCTAGGAACAATCCATGCCATATTTGAAGCCCTGAGGGGGGGGAGCCTTCTTCCCCTCACAAAGCCCAAGGGGCCAGGTCCTGCCTATCCCCAAGGCTGTGCACTAAGGTGCTGGTTGGCCATGAGGGCTCTGCATGGCCAGTCAGCTCCTCCTCCTCCCCACTTGACCAGCTCAGCTGTCCTGGGCCAGGCTGGTCAGAGAAATCCAAACAGGTAAAGTCCACACACCAGCATTCCTTTTTGGGTCCCTCCTCTCTCTGGGGCTCTAATCTTCTCAGTTGCCAAAATGCCCTAGTAACCTTCCAAAGGTGTGGCCCCCTCCTAGGGCCAGTGCGTTTGGATTTGGGTCCTTCAGGCATCCTGATAGCCGTGCATGAGGGACCAAATAGATGGCTGCTGTGTACTCCACGCTCCCAGCTGCTCTTAGAGGGAACAGCCTAGGCCTTGGTCAGAGGGCCGAGAACCTACCAATTCTAGCTTTGCTTCCTGCTTAGCTTCTGTGGTTGAGGGGTCTCGAGGGGTGCTGATGGTCATTTTAATTTATTGCTTTGAATACAACTGTAAGAGGGTACAGTGAGGCCTGTACCCACAAGCGGTGGTAACCCTGGTGGTTGCTGTTCCCCTGCCCTCTGCTACCGCTTTGTGGTCCAGGAGCTGCTACAGCCTGGGATGGGGCCCTGCCTTCCTCTCCCGAGGCTCTGTGCCTCATCTTCCAGCAGAGGGCTTAAGCAGGGATGGATGCTATGGAGGACAGAGCCTGTCTGGAGAGGTCAAGCCCTATTGACACAGGTCTTTCCTTAGGCCACAAGGTTTGGGCTGGTGGCCCATTTCTATCATGCTGCCTTAATAAAAAGATTCCAGAATAAAACTGGCTTTGGCTCTTGCAATGTAGAGGTAGAGAGCATTTCTTCTTGAGTGCTTAGGCAATGTAGCCCGCTTTACCGGTGCACTTCTACAAATTACGGTGTAAGGAGTGGCCACCATACCCCGGAGGGCTCATGGGAAAACAGGGCTAGACAGTTTCAACAAAAATTTTGTTGCACTCTGGCATGGTGGCTTATTCCTGCTATCTTTGGTAGCACTCACAGGGCACAGGAAGCTGTTCTAGGCTAGCCTGTGCTACACGGCAAAGTCCTGCTTCAAAAACCACATGGGCACTGGAGCAGTGGCTTAGCGGAGAGCACGGCCTACTCCCGAGAACGAGGATTTGACCACAACCATCCATCAGTCTGGGGGTCCAATGCCATGAAGGCACAGTGCTCGCGTACATTAAAGAACATGTGATGAATGGGTAGATATGTGTCTGGAAATAATTTCTCTGGTTCCCATCTGCTGTACTGCGAAGAGGCAAACTGCTAGAGATGGCAATACTGTATGAGTCATTTGGCTTGGCTGAGCTAGGTGTACTTTTCTTGCCATTTACCTGCTGTTTCCAAGATGACCTGAAAGTATAAGCAGACCCGATTGCCTCAATAGATTGAAACTGTTTCCAGATACATAAACTGGATTGCAGCAGACACACGCTCAAAAGCAAAAGTGACATAGCACGGTGACGACTTGGCGTTGTCAGCTGTGATGCAAATGGGTGGACCATGGGCGTGCCCCCCACCTTCCCTTTTGAGATAGGGTTTCACCGTATAGCTAGTCCTGGCTTAGATCCATGCCTGTCTGCAACTAAAATTTCATACACACTTCAAGCCATTAGAAGAAGATTGTTCTTTGCTCATCAGCTATACAAACAGGCATTTGACCCTGGTTTGTTAATCTAAAGCTCTTGTTCACAAAGCAAGGAAGAAACTGGCTAGACTTTTGAGTTTGTTGGTCTCATCCCAGAGGGCTCACTCCTGCAGCAGTCTCCACTGATGGCAATATGGCAACCATGACCTTTCCAATGGACTACTCTGGCTGCAGAAGCTGGTGTTCCCCCAAAGTAGCCCATGCACATGTCATTAGTGGGCAGAGCGCGCGCACAGGGGCACATGCGCGCACACACACTGTGGAGAGCAAGGGTAGGGCGAGGGCTCTGTGACGCTAAGAGCCCTCTCCCCTGAGAATGACAACAGGAAGAGCCATGAGTGCTCCCACCTCTAGCTACAGGGGAGGCAGGGACCTCCAGGGACTGGGCTACAACACAGAGCTCCAATAAATGACTGCCTCTGTTTTATCCACGTCCCAGTGAACTGACATAGTAACGAGAGAGTGGCCCTTATACCAAGTGCCAGCTGGGTTGTGGGAGTGAACTCGGGGACTCCAATTAGCTTCCACAAGTGAACAGGGACCAAAGCATCGGATGGCAGGAAGAGCCAACCAACCAGATCAATCCTGCCCAGGACTGGAGCCACAGATGCCATCATAAGCCTTTGGTGCCTTAACCTAGGTCTTTAACTGTATCTGTAGTCACCAACTGGGCTCCTGGTGCCCTCCCATGCTCCCTGGACCAAGCTGGGGACTGGTGTCATTCCATGGTGACAGGAACATCTTCCACATCTCTGGGGACGGCATTCTGAAGCTCACGTCTGATCTCAGGAGACAGCTGTGGGTGGGGCTGCAGCCGAAGCAGTTCTAGGAGGGCCTCCTTCTGCTCTGTGGCCAAGTCGGCCTTGTACCGTTGTGCCAGTGTCAGAAGACACTGGTGCCAGAGCACGGGCAGCTGGCGCTTCTCCGTCCGGAAGCCCAGAAAATGGAAGACCAGGGCATCTAGCACCCGGTAGGGCAATGCGTACTTCTTGTCCAACAGCAGGCGCAGGAAAATGCTGTTAGCACCACTGTATTCCATCTCAGCAATCTTCAGCATGGCCGCACTAGGGAGGAAGGTGGAGTTAAGGACCAGGGGAGAGGTGTCTCCCCAGACTGACCCTAACCTAGAGCATTCCCGAGGGTGTCTCCAGGGCTCCTCATCTACTCCTGGGATTGATTCTCATTACATCTGTCTGCATCCATCCCACACCTCTGCCTCTGCTCGGACAGCAGACAATCCCTGCATGCAACTACAGAGAACGTCTGAATGCCCACCACCTCCACCTCCTGTCACACTTTCCCCTTGGTATCCACTCACTCATACTCATGCCACCATCCAACATTTACTGAACATCTATGTGCCAGCTCCTTGGACCCTGCTCTTGACGGGTTCTATTGGACTGGAGCAATCATACACCCACTGGCTTACAAAGTAGGCCTCTAGGTAATCATGGCTTACTCTCCACTCTGGCCCCCCTGCCCAAGCTGTGACCTCTCTACTGCATGGCTCTCCACCTCATCGACACTACCTGGAGTGCAACACGGGGATGGAGCACTTAGTGATGATGCTGCCCACGATGATGGCTTCTCGGAGGGTACAGGTGCCAGACTCACACAAGGGGATCAGGATTCCTAGGCAGAGTCGTACACAGTGACTTTCAGTCTGTGGTGAGGGAAATGAAGCAGTGCCCCGCAACCCCACCATCTAAAGACCACCAGCAGAGGCAGCCTCTCCTTCTCTCCGCCTTCTGGGTGTTTACCTTTGAACCAGGCTCCGGGCTTGAACAGAGCCTTCTTGAGTGCCATGTAGAGGTGAAAATTGAGTCGTTTGTACTCAGCGATGTCATCTCGTACTCGGGGAAGCAGGACAAGGTTGTAGAAGCGCTGAGCCATCCGTTCCTTCAGGTTAGAGGCAAAAATCCTAGCAGGGTGGGAGTTTTCAAGTCACAACAGCACGGGCTGTCTCTGGTGTTTTACATTTTTATTTTATGTGTTTGCCTCCTTTGCCTGCATGGATGTCTGTGCACCATATATGTGCCTCATGCCCATGGACGCCAGAGGAGAAACCGGGTTTCCTGGAGCTAGAGACGGTTGAAAGCCTCCCGGTGGATGCTGGGAATTGTGGGAATTGAACCCAGATCTTCGAGAAGCGCAAGTGCCCTTAACCATTGAGCCACCTCTCCAGACCTAGCGTTTTTTTTTTTTTAAGAAACACACTCTCTTGTGTTTCTGTGTGCAGTCCTAACTGCACTAGAACTCACTCTGTAGACCAGACTGGTGGATCAGGAGATCCACCTGCCTCTGCCTTGTGAGTGCTGGGATTAAAAGTGTGTGCCACTACCACCCGGCCCCTAGTGGTTTTCATAAAGTGCTGTTGCTTGGCTCCATGGCCTTCTGTGCATTATTTCAGCTAGGCACCTCGAGCTACTTCCCCAACCCAGTTTTTGCTGGCTACTCAGCTACATGCTCTCCTTGCTCTACTACGGGGAGCCTGAGATCACCCGGAGAATCAGAATTCTCAAGCTACTCTCTCACACCAGGGCTGTATCCTGGGAGCTGTGCAAGCCATTCCCATTGAAGTCTACCATGGGACTTCGTCCTGAAAATGCAGAGCCTGCACACCCACACCCTGCACCATAGGTCAGCCACCCTAGCCCATCTACACTACCTGGTGGCTTGATACATAGCAGCTGCAGTCCAGGCCTCAGGCTCGGTGACATAGAGGATTTGTTCCCAGTTGGACAGGGCCGGGATGATCTTAAAAGCCTTGGGCAGTTTCCCACTTCGGTACTTGGATAACACCTGGAGACGGGAGGCAGAATCATCACACCCATGCTTGAGGTCCTGGCCCCTCCCTGTGTTTCCATGCGCCGCCTCACTTACCTTCAGAGCAATCCAAAAAGCCTCATTTCTCAGGAGACCAGAGTCTAGTGACTTCCAGGTAAGAGGCAGCGCAAGAACCTGAGCCCACTAGCTCCGCCTCACTCCTTCCCCTGCCCTGGCCACCATGGCTTGCTCGTCAGGTGCCACGTGTGAGAGCCCTCCTGTTAGGATGCACGAGTCCTCATAGCCCTTACCTCCCGCACGCCTCTGTAGACCTCAAGGACTCGGGGGTCCAGCTGAGGCACAGGGAAGCCCGACACCTCTGACATGACAGTCTCCACCTCTGTCTGCTTTTCCGTCAGCTTCTCCATGATGATGTCAGCCAGAGTGCGCCTATGGAGACAGAGGGAGAAGGACGAAGACCTACGGTCACCGCCCGGGAAGCTCTCACCCTGTTCATGAAAGGGAGGGAGGGAGGGCAAGAGAAGAAAGAAGGAAGGACGGACAGACAGCAGCAGTGGCACGAGCCCTTAAGGCCAACACTTGGGAGGCAGGCAGAGCTCTGTGAGGTTAAGGTCAGTGTGGTGGTCTTCATGGGAATTCCAGGTCAGTCAGCCGGGACTACAGAATAAGGCCCTGTCTCAAAGGAAAAAGGAGAGCCACAAAACAGTCCCCCAACAAACCAGGAATGCTGCACAAACCAGCATGCCTTCTGTGCACAGGGTCACACCAGTCTGTGGTGTTGTTCCAGTTTTAGCACACATGCTGCTAGAAGCATCTCCTCTGGATGACGACAAACGTCACCACTAATTGCTGCAGAGAGGGAAGGACCTCCGCGCCACCACATTTCAGACAAAGCTAGCAGCGGTGTGGAGTTAGGTCCTTGGACTCGGATGTCAGTTCTGCTCAGGTGTCACTCTCCTCTCCCCTGATGACCTCGGGCTTGTCACTTTACTCCTCCGTGCCTCGGAGCTCCGGCCTGGTGGGCACACCACACATCTCTATCCCTTGCTAATTCATGAAGGAGACTACAATACCACCTTCCTCCCACTCACAGAAAAGCCCTGAGACCAACTGCATCCTCCCTAGCCTCTTTCAATTACTCCTTAAACGTGATTATTATTGCCATGTGCGCATGTGCAAGTCACAAGAGCACTCTGTGGAGCTGAGCTTTCCGTCTACCTTGAAGTGAGCTCTGGGGATTGAACTCAGGTCCCCGGGCTTGTGCAGGAAGTATTTCACCTGCGGAGCCGTCTTGCCGCCTCCTCATTTTCAGCCTCTTTAAACAGAAGCTATCAAATGAGGATTCAAAATTACCACAGCCTGAGGCTGGAGAGACACTTAACTACTCATGCACATCTTACATCATCTGCTCAGTGGAGGTGACGCCTCATGTTCTCCTGACCTTCACGGGCACCAGGAATGCACGTGACATATATACAAGCAGGAAGCATACCCATCTACATTAAGTAAAATAAATAAAAATTTAACAGAATTACCACCATAGCAGGTTAGTTTGCTAATGGCATCTTCAAGGTCACTGATGTGTACTTAAAATTGCCCCTCAGTTGGGGACGTCACTCAGTGATTAGCACGGATGAGACCCTGGGTTCTAGGGTTCTAGCCTCCAGCACTGGAGGAAGTCAGACAACATTGTTCAGACTTTCCAGATCAGTGTCCTACAGTCTACAGTACACAGATGGAAGAGCTTTCCTTCCTTCCTTCTCCCCCACCCCAAGACAGGGTTTCTCTGGGTAGCCCTGGCTTTCCTGGAACTAGCTCTTTAGACCAGGCTGGCCCAAACTCAGAGAAGCAGCTGCCTTCTGAGTGCTGGGATTAATACGTGTGTCACCACTGCATCTGATGGGAGATGTTTTTATTCCCAGACATACACCTGGGCCTGAAACTCAGAGGTTAACAATCCAACTACGGTCTTAAGGCTTTATCGGAGACGGAGAAATTGCAGTCCTTCGGCCGCAACTTTGGGTGCTGTCTTGTTACAGCGAATTGCAAAAACCCAATCTGCTACCTTTGTCAGAACCATGAAAAAAGGTATGAGGCGGGCCTGAGAGCCCTCTTGGGACAGGCACACAGCTCAGACCCACACTCTGTGACCCGTGTTTGAGCCATCAGACATCCATGTGGGAGGGCTCTTCCCTCCTTTCTACACACTCAAGGCACTCATCATGTAGTTAGTCTCTCATCACGTCACACTTGTGATGAGAGACGTCCTATGCCACACTCTGAAGGACTGAGAACAGCCACACATTATGCAGGGTCACAATAAACTGGTTGAGGCCCTTTGCCCTAAACTTACTCCCCTCCACTGGGCCAGCCGCATCTGCCCAAGAATCTGACCACAGGCAGCCTAAACACCTGAAGGTTTTGGAAGCAGTATTGAAAGAAGATGGGGGTGAATCTGTGGTTTTAGCTGAAGGCCTTTTACCCCCATGGTAAGATTTAGCAATGCCTGGGATAATTTTTCATTATCACTACTGGTGTCTAGAGGGGAAATGTTAGTAACAGCTGCAGAACATCCTCAGGTTTGAGCTTCCACCCAAGCCCAAATGCCAGGGCTGAGACCAGAAGCCTGGGATTAAAGGGAGTCTAAGGTCCCAGAGCAACGTACCAAGAGCAAGCACACAGGACAGAAGGAGGAACTGGGTAACCCAGGAAGCTCTGGGTGGAGCCCATCCAGACGGTTTGCTCAAGACAGTGCTCTATAACTCCCAAATCCCAGCTTGGCTCCGGTATGCTACCTCCCTCAAGCCCGGAGACCACACTGGTCCCAGAATCCTACACAAACCCCTTTGGAGCAGGGTGGCCTGCAAAATTAGCAATCTCCCCCTTGTTCCCACAGCCCCAGGGAGCCCTCCCGCTGCCACCAGCGTGCCGGGCAGAGAGTCCTTGGGCCCAATTCTTGAAGCACCCATTCCTATGCAAGGGGCATTTTGAGTCCCCTACCCCCACACCCCCAGCCTTCCCTTGGGACTTTAAACCCTGCTAAGACAGGGGTTGAGGGGGTGGGGGTGGGATCTGGTAGGGGCAGGACAAAGGGCTAGGGGGACTCCAGACATCAGGTGAGGACTCCTAATACTGCCAAAGGGTTTAACTTTAAACAGCCCCTATTATATCCCCCCCATCCCTCAAAAGAGACAAATGGGCGGGGGAGAGGGGGCAAGAGTCCTTTTGAGGGCACCAACCACCTCCCACTGTCTCCGACTGCTCCCCAGTTTCCCACACGTATCCAGCTTTTTAGTTAAGCTTTTTTTTTTTTTTAAAGGTACCATCGTTATAAATGTCTACACAATGTTGGGGAAAAAAAGCTGGCCAGGGAACTAGCTTGTGGGAACTTTCTACCAGGGTCTACTGTCCCAACTCTTAAGTCCTACCTGACAGGAGGGTTCTTATTCATGAACATTTCAATGGCACGTTCATCTTCAGGGTCCACAACTACCTCTGCTTGGTGGCCGACCCCAGTCATTTTGGCTGCCTTCTCCAGGGTGGGCCATTCCTCATCCTCATCGTCATCCTCGGATCCATCCTGGGGCACGTCCAGCCCTAAAGAGGGAAGACAGAATCGTAAGTATGGAGGACAGGCCCTTTTGAGTTAGTTCACTGCCATGTACTGCACGCCCAGGGTGTCGGAGATGCAGCCCAGGGTGTTGGAGATGCCGCCCAGGGTGTTGGAGATGCACACGGGCACAAGGAAGGAACAGAGTTACAAACTATCTTTCTGTCCCCAGAGACTTGCAATCTTGAGAGATAAAGTACAACACATGGAACAGAGTGATGCCAGGAAAGAGGATCCGTCCTACAGTACACACATGTAACAGCTTAGTCCAGGTAACCTCAAAAGTATCCAGTTCAAAACCTACAGTACACACATGTAACAGCTTAGTCCAGGTAACCTCAAAAGTATCCAGTTCAAACCCTACAGTACACACATGTAACAGCTTAGTCCAGGTAACCTCAAAAGTATCCAGTTCAAACCCTACAGTACACACATGTAACAGCTTAGTCCAGGTAACCTCAAAAGTATCCAGTTCAAACCCGACAGAAAAGCTGACTGCCCATAGTCCCCACTACCTTTGCCTTCTTCCCCACTACCGCTGCTTGCACAACAGAGCTGCGCCATGTGCTAAAACTAAAACCATGGTAGAGGCAGGGTGCACCACAAGCACTTAGATTAGTGCAGAGGGTGATGAGGCTTTGGATGGGCAATTTGGGAAAAAGTGTGTCTCTCATATCCTAGAAAAGTAATATTATTACTGTTGGGCATTAAGGAGCCAGAGCCTGAAATAGGACCATACGACCAGGACCAGGTTGGGGCCAACCTGGAAGGCCCCAAGGCTGGGCAGGTGTATTTGTTCTCTAATCAGCTAATATGCATAACGTTACTGACTTGTAGCAGCAGGCTTTCTTGAACTTCCAGCCCCCAAATTATGGCATAGAGACTTATTATTGATTATTAATGTTTGGCCTTAGTTTTAGGCTTGTTTTTGCTTAGTTTTTTTTTTTTTTCTTTTTTTTTAATCAACTCATTTCTGTTAACCTATGTGCTGCCCCAAGGTTGGTTTACCTCATCTACATATCGTCCATCCTGCCTCCTTCATGTCTGACTGGCCTTTTCTCTCTCTGCACCCTCTGCCTAATTATTGTCTATTTAGCTTTCTATTAGACCAATCAAGTGCCTTAAGAAGGCAAGGTGAAACAGTATCACATCTTTACATAGTTAAACAAATGCAACAGGTTTTTAGATAAACAATTATTTTGCAACACAAACAAATGTAACACATCTTTACATAGTTAAACAATATTCTATTCCACAACTCATTGACTATATAGTCAAGGGTGACCTGGATTCCTGGTTCTTCTGTATCTGTATCTACTTCCCAAGTGTTAGGATTACAAACATGTACCACAATGCCTAACATTAAACTTCTGGACTTTTTTTTTGGGGGGGGGGGGAAACAAGGGTCTGACCATGTAACCTTGGCTGGCATGGAACTTGCTCAAGCTCACAGAAGTCTGCCTGCCCCTGCTTCCTGAGTGCTGGGATTTTAAGTCATGTGTCAACACACCTGGCTGACTTTTGAAGCACCACACATAGCTGGCCAAGCCCCTGGGAGAGTCTAACAAACCAAAGGAGTTGAAATATTACATAACAACAGGTCACTTGCAACAGAACTGGACAAAGGATATACACAGCTCAGGAGGGATTTTTAAAAATTGTTTTAGATTTACATATACTGTTTTATGTGTATGCCCGTGAGTCACAGGTGTGCCAGGTGCTCACAGAGGTCAGAAGAGGGCACCTGATCCCTTGGAATTGGAATATAGCTAGCGGTGGTCGGCCACATGAGTACCTGGAATCAAACTCTGGTCTTCTGAAGGACCAAGGGCTTTTACTGTTTGTTTTGTGTTTTTCAAGACAGGGTTTCTCTGTGTAGCTCTGGCTGACTGGAGCTCACTGTGTAGACCAGGCTGACCTCGAACTTGGAGATCTACCTGCTTCCACCTCCCAAGTGCGGGGATTAAAGGTGTGCGCCAACACTGGCCAGCTAAGAAAAAGCATTCTTAAGAGCTGAGGGCAATGATTTCGTTTTACCTCTGCTCTCTACACACATCATGGCATGCACACAAAATAAATGTTAAAAGAAACAAAAAATAAGTGTCATGAAACAAATAGGACAGAGGTGGATGTTGACATTTGTGAGGTAGGTATTTTAGTGCGTGCGTGCGTGGGTGTGTGCGCACTTGCATCATGTGTGCAGCAGAGGTGAATCTTGAGTGTTAATCCTCAGGATCTGCTGACCTTTTTTTTTTTTTTTTAAAGACACGTTCTGGCTGGGACATGGGGTTAGCTGAGCTCAGTGGGCCCAGGAGATCTGTCTTCAACTCCCTTGCTCTGGGCTTACAAACTGCTTTAAGTCAGGGCCTCATGCTTTCAAAGTATATATTTCACTAACTGAATTATCACCTCCCTAGCTTGTGGTCAGACTGTCAGCAGAGGTGGACCTCTAGCTGTTGAATCGACCACAGAGGTTATAGAACACAAATTCCGATGCTCTTGCAGTGATTCAGGGGAGTGACTGTGGCCCTTAAACAGGAGGATGCTCCAAGCTAAGGAAAGTGATAGGGTTCTGGATACATCCTCAACACAAAATCATCAGGGTTTACTGACAAATTGGATGTAGAAAGAGGCGCATTGAGCAAGGGGAGGTTAATGTGCTAACAGACTCCATGGAGGACGCAGAGAGGTATCAGGTAGACATGTGGACAGAAGGATGCTAGTTTGTTGAAAGAGCTATGTCTGGGAGAAAAGCTGGGTGTAGTCATCGGAAAGATGGCTTCTAACTGGAATCTGACAGCTACACAGGAGGACCTAAAGCTCAGGCCTGTCTTGGTCACAGAGCAAGTTCAAGTCCAGCATGAGCAACTTAAGGAGACACAGTATCATATTTAAAAAAAAAAAAAAAAGTTTAAAGGGCAGGTGTGGTGTCAAACATCCATACTGCCATCACTTGGAAAAACAGAGGCAAAATCAGCAGTTCAAGGTCAGGCTCACATACACGTGGAGTTTGAGGCCATCCTGGGCATGAGACCCTACCTCAAAACACCTTAAAAAAAAAAAAAAAAAAAAAAAAAAAAAAAAAAGCAAGTAAAGTTACTATGTCCCTAAAGCTATATTCAATCATCTCAATAACAAGTAAGAATGCAAAACTAAGCAACTGGAGGTGAACATTTCCACCCTAATGAGAGAAATATCAAGCATTTTCCCACTCATCTCTGCCACCCACCCCCACGTGATTCTAAGCTGTTTTTTCCTCCTCCGCTAGTGGAACATTTCCCATATGCTTTTCATATCTTTGTCAGAGGCATGAAACTTGGGGTGCCTGTCCTGTAGGATTACTGGCAGTTTTTTTGGTTGTTTGTTTGTTTGTTTTGAATAGGAATATATTCACTTTCTTTTACTCTCTTGCCAGACAAGGCTATACCACGTAGCTCAGGCTGATCTGGATCTTATTATGTAGCTCACTTGGACCTTCTTCTAGCTTAGCTTCTCGAGTGCTGAAATTACAGGCGAGCACCGCCGCTCCTGGCTGGAATATATTACTCTATTTAATGTTCTCTCCCTTGGGGTAGACTTCCGATGCTAAAAGCAGGGACGAGTACATTGTTTATTTCGGTGTCAGAACTGCCTAAACTCTTAGCACAGTTAAAGGCATTACACAGGTAGCACACAAATACTTCACAAGCCCAGAGAATAAATAAATATCAGAACTTGGTGTGAGTGATCACTTCCTGTTGGAACTCTGAGGTTCCGGAAGCTCTGAGCTGAAGTGAAGGACCACGCGGGAAAGAAAAACTGCCCCTTCTTTGTAATTCCACACCAGTATCCGGATGGACTGCGTTTGCTCGGCCCAACCCACCACTCCACCCCTTGTCACTCACCCAGCCGCGTGGCGCGTTCTCGCGGTTTCGCAGGCTGGTCTCCAGTCCCGTGTTCAGTCTCGAGCTCCTCTTGCTGCTGCCTGGCTTGCTGCAAAATCCGTCTGCTCAACCGGGGTCCCACATACTCTTCCTCCTCTTCGACCCCGCGTCCCCGCCGTTTGTCTCGGGTCCCCGCGCGCACTGCATTCCCAGCCAGAATCTGCTCGGCCAGAGGTGCATGCTTCTCCTGATTCCCGGCCCCACGGGCCACCTTGAATTTGGGCATTTTTCTCGAAAAACTTACCCACAAGATTTACACGTGGGAAGCCGGCTGAGACACTAGGACTGCGCTTGCGCCTTGTGTTCCGGTTTCCAAGAGGTCACTGACAGTGCACAGCGCCTCCCAGCGTCCGGAGGCCGGAAGTGCCTCCTATACCGCCACCTCTCGAAATGCTCCGGGGACGGGAGCTGGACTCCCCCAAATCCCCAGGTGATCTCATTGGATGGAAGCGGCGCATGTGCGAGTCACCTTTTCCAGAATTCATGATCGTAGCCTAAGGAGTCCTGTCAAAGCAAAGCGCGCCTTGGGGGCGGAGCCTGCCTGATGACGTAAGGTGTGTCATCGCCGGAGCGTCCGGACACGCCCCCTTCCTGTGTGCGCGCCGCTCTGGCGCTCAGATTCTGCGTATTTCCCGAGCCCGTTCTCCTCCTGCATCCTGCTTTGGGTGGCTACGCCGCCTGTGGGCCTCTGGATTCTCCCGAGTTCGTGTGTTTGAAGTGCCACTTTTTTACCCTGCGCCATGGGAGTGACTTGGTAGGCCTGCAGGGGCTCTTGGGGGATGGAGGTTGGGGTCGTGAAGGTCCCGGGAGGGGGATCGGGACCGAGGTTGTGGGTTCCTCGCGGCTGACAAAAGATGTCCTCGGGTCTTGGAGCTAGGAACGTGGTGCTTCTTCTTCCCAGACACATTCCTTTGGCACAGCGAACGCTTCTTTCCAAGAACCTGCCAGGAGTTGTACCTTCTGGTTCTTGGTACTTTTTTTCTGTACGTGAGGCCATAGTATTGTCGTGAGAGTAGGCACTAAAAGTTGGGAGTAGGGTTTCTGCACTAGGAATTATTTGCAGGCAACGATTTGACAAAAGGGGGGGGGGGGGGCTCTAGGAGAAAGTGACTTTTACATTTTTCTTGCAGTTATAACAGCCTGGCTTTAACTTGGTCACTTTAAGATGTTGGTCTAATTGTCAGAGGGAGGGAAAGGGAGTTGATGGAGGCCGAGGTTTCAGGTATATTAACTATTCAGCAACCACTTCCTACACGTTTGAGTCAGTTTTGATTGAATTTTTCTCTCAAACATGTTTTAAATTTCACTTGGAAAAAGAGGTGGGTGGTAACGTCTGGACACCGCGCTTTTCTGGGCATTAATTCCGAAGTATTAGGTTTCAGCATGTTAAAGAATCTTGGTATTGGTGTGCATCTCCCCAGCTAGAGAGTCCTGGCGGCTAGGGTGCCTGAAGTCACTGGCCACAGGTTTGTTCTGAATAAGGTGTGTGTGGCAAGTCCTTCAGCTAGCCCAGGCTCTTGCGGACATTATAGTGACTGCTGTACGTGCGAGCAGTTGACACGAGGAGCCTTATCTCAACCTCATCACACTGTAAAGAAAGAGTGCCTGTCAGCAGTGAAAATAGAAATCACAGCAGAGCCATTGGGCCCTATCATACATCTCTGTGTATGTTTTTCTGGGCTGCCCACCACCTGCCTCTGGCCCCTGCATCTTGGGATCACAGGAGTGCTCCATCAGTTTCTGCCCGCCTTGGGTTCATTGTACAAAGAAAAGGGTTCCCTGCTTACTAGTATCCATTCAACTCTCTGAGTCCCAGAGTTTCTGTCACAGTGGCAGTTTAGTGACTTCTGTTTCATATATTGCTTATTGGTGCTTTTTTTTTCATATAGAGAACAGTTTTTAGTGACAGTACCGTCCTCCCTTAATAGATTTATCTAACTGATTGATTGTAAAGTAAGTCAGGGTTTTGTAAAAATACAGCAGTTTGGGAAACGACTTGACTTTTTCACGCATTTAACTACCATCGGTGTTATGATTTATTCACTGTGATTATGTAATGGGTCTTAGCCAAGTGTTTCCGTAATCCCAGCGAGTGGGAGGCTGAGCAGCAGGAGGCTAGGGCTAATGTAGTGACTTTCAGATCAGCAATGGCTGCAGTGAGTTCCCAATCTCCACCAAACCTCTTTAAAAACTTTCGAGCAGATTGCTGCCTGGGCAGTCATTGTGGCACACGTCTTTAATCCCAGTACTTAGGAAGCAGAAGCAGACAGATTTCTGAGTCAAAGGCCAGTCTTGACCCTGGTCTGCAAATCTGAGTTTCAGGGTAGCCAGGGCTACACAGAGCAGTCTTGTCCCAAAAAACCAACTAAGGAAATATAATATAAAAAATATTAGCGGACCATGACATCCCTAGAGGCAATGTAGGAGAATGGTTAAAGAGTACAGATGAGACACTCGGTAGGCGGAGGCAGGCGCATCTCTGTGAGTTCAAGGCCTGCCTGGTCTACAGAGGGAGTTCCAGGACAGCTGGGTCTACACCAAGAAACCCTGCTCAAAAATAAATAAACAAACAAACAAACAAATAAATAAATAAATGAAAATAGCAGAGAAGGAGCCGGGTTGCATGTCTCTGAATCCTGACTGTACCATCCATCAACTGTATGACCTTGTGCAGATTGCTTAGCTTTTGTATTTCAATTTCCCCATTAGAAGATTCAGTGTATCCATTTGAAGGGGCACACCTTTGATCCCAGCACTTGGGAGGCAGAGGCGGGCGGATCTCTGAGTTCAAGGCCTGCCTGGTCTACATAGTGAGTTCCACGACAACTGGAACTATATAGTGAGACTCTGTCTCGCAAAAAAAAAAAAAAAAAAAATCTGAAGGCTTTCAGATCTTGCACATAGCTGGCGCGTGACAGTAATTGCCTGCCACTCCATAAGGTGGGAACCTGGAAAAGAATTGAAGTCCTTGAAACGACTATTGTGTCTCTTCTTGTAGGCTTATACACTCAAGGGATGCTTTCTCTTTGTTTTTAGCGCCGTTAAATGGAACTCTCATAGTGGGGGAGTTCTGCCCACAATGTCCAGAACATTGTCCTCCAGCCTCCTGGGGCGCATTACCTGACAAAAATAGCTTATGATAGGGTTTATTTTGGCTCACTATTTGAGCCAAAAATAGCATGAGGTGGCTGGTTGCATATAGTCAGGAGGTAGGTGTGTGTGTGTGTGTGTGTGTGTGTTCCACTCTTCTGTTAGTTAAATAAGGGTCTCACAAACAGGGTCAGGACTTGTTAAAGAAGTAGGTCTTCGCAGAGTGTACCGCTATAATTCCAGCACTTGAGACCACGACTGCTAAAAGAGTGAAGTCAGCTCGGTCTGATGTAGTGAATTCCAGATCAGCTTTGGCTGCACTGTGAGACCCTGTCTCCAACACATAGTCAGTGACTCTAGGTACAACCCAGTGCTACTGAATGTGTGCAGTGTGTCCCACCTAGAATCAACACGCGCCTTACTTGGGAAAGCTGATGTGAAAGAAAGCTTAACACCCCCGTGTGAGACACTTGAGACCTGTGCTCTGCCTCTTAGAGGAACTCTTGCAGACGGTGGGCCTCTTGCTCTCTCAGTTTAAGGGGCAGGAACCAGAGTTAGTGCTGTCTAAAGTAATTCCTAGCCCCGTTGATCTGCTAACTGTTTGAGAATGAGTGGCTCAGCCAGAGCACGTGGTCTCTGGACACTGCTGATTTGGTGTTCTGTTTTTCAGTGTGTCCCAGATGCCTGTGGCTGAGGGCAAGAGTGTCCAGCAGACGGTGGAGCTCCTCACCAGGAAATTGGAGATGCTTGGGGCAGAGAAACAAGGAACATTTTGTGTAGACTGTGAGACTTACCACACAGCTGCCTCCACTCTGGGCAGCCAAGGTCAGTAGATGATTGTGAGCAGATGGTCGGACACTGGCTTGGAGTCCCACACATATTCAGTCATTGGTGTCTTTATGGTGGGCGGATTGCAGTTTGAACCTATGTGTTTAACTACATTTTTGTTTTCAGTCGTGTGTGTATGTGTGTATGCTCCAGAGCATGTGCACGCCGGTGCAGGTACTGTCGAGGCGAGAGGTGTGAGACCCTCTGGAGCTAGAGCTACAGGTGCTTATGGGTACTGGGAACTGGGTTCAAGACCAACTTGGGCTAGAGAGTGAGAACCTTTCTTCTTGGGAAACAAAAATTGTGTACATCCACCACAAGTGCTTTCTTTATTAAAGAGTAGTGTTGGGCTGAGGTGATGGCTCATCAGTTGAGGGCACTGGCTGCTCTTCTAGAGAACCAGGTTTGATTCTCAATACCCACATGAAAACTTACAACTTTTGTAACTCCAGTCCTAGGGGAGCCAATGCCCAGTGCCCTCTGTGGACACTTGGTGTGCAAGTAGTGTGCCAACATACATGAATAGCAAAAACAGTTGTACACATAAAAACAAAGATATTAAAAGCAGTATCCTAAGAGTTGATGCTATAGCTCAGTGAGTTGCCTTTAAAAATTTCAGGGCAGTGCAACTTCATGCAATGTGAATCAGATATGTGATTACAGGATGTAGACCTGAGAACAGAGTAAGATCAGCTGACTCTGAGGGCTGACATGCTACTAACTGAATTTGAGAGAGATGAAAGGTGTAAATTGGCAGTACAGACAGCTGGCTTGGTGCAGAGCCTGCTAAGTTCGGCAGGTGGCAGCAGAGAGGCCAGTGCAATACAGGGAAGCTTGAGCTCCCCAACTGCTGCCCTCCCCTCACTCCATCACTAACTTTAAAAAAGATTCGTTTGTTGTGTATACAGTGTCCTGCCTGCATGCATTCCTGCACACTTGAAGAAGACATCAGATCCCATTATAGATGGTAGTGAACCACCATGTGGTTGCTGAGAATTGAACTCAGGTCCTCTGGAAGAACAGGCAGCACTCTTAACCTCTGAGCCATCTCTCCAGCCCCCATCACTAACTTTTTAAATAAAGGATTTGTTTTATTATTTGGTTGTTTGGTTTTTGTAACTGGGTCTTACTGTGTAGCCCTGGCTATTCTGGAATTCACACCGTAGACCAGGGTGGCCTTGAACCCACAAAGATCATCTGCCTGCCTCTGCTTCCCACATGCTGAAATTAAACAAGCACACCACTATACCCAGTTTTATTTTATTGTGGAGCTGGATGCCTGTAGAGGCCAGCAGGGAGTCGAGGATCCCTTGGAGCTGAAGTTGCAGGCACTTGCAGGCAGCCCAATGTGGGTGTGGGATCTGAACTCTAGTCTTCTGACAGAACTACTGTGGTTCAGAACCATTGAGCCATCTTGACAGCTTCCTGTTACTCTTATCCCTGCGAGAGTACCAATTTTCCTGCCCTGTGCCCTCCTTTAAGTCGTTTTTCCTTTGATCTATTCTTATGCCAAAGTCTTAGACTTCCGGTCCCTTTCAGGTAATGACTCTTTAAATTTTTATTTTGTATTAATTAGTTAGGTGTTTGAAATGAGGCTTTCTGTAGCTCAGGCTAGCTTTGAACCTGCTTTGTAGCTTAGTGTTTCTGATCCTTCTGCTTCTACCTCTCTAGTGCTAGGATCACCACATCCAGTTTATGTGGTTCTGGAAATAGAACCCAGGTGTTCATGCGCTCATGCGAGCGCGTGCGCGCGCACACACACACACACACACACACACACACACACTTAGCCTTTTATGTGTTTTGTTTTTTTTTTTAAGACAGGGCTTCTCTGTGTAACAGCCCTAGCTGTCCTGGAACTAGCTCTGTAGACCAGGCTGGTCTCAAACTCACAGAGATCTGCCTGCCTCTGCCTCCCAAGTGCAGGGATTAAAGGCATATGTCACCATTGACCAGCTAACCAGACCCTTTTTATTCATCTGTTTTGTGTGTGTGTGTGTGTGTACTTGTGTACATGTGTGCATGGTTGTGTTTTCCATGGCATGGGTATGAAGTTCAAAAATAGCTTTCTGGGATCTGTACTTTCTTCCAAATACAATATCAGACTCAAATATATCAGGCTTAGCAGCAGGCACCTTTACCTGCTGACCTATGACTAACCCTTATTTGTGTGTGTGTTTTTGGGGTGTGTGTGTGGGGAGCCGGGTATGGCCTTGAGTGTGGGTAGAAGAGCTTTTACATGTCTGCCACTGTCCATCTATCTCTTCTCCCAATGCTGTGGTCACAGGCATGTACAGCCTTCCCCAGGCTTTTTACCTGGGTGCTGGGGATTAGAATTTAGGCTCTCACTGAGCTATCATCCCAGCCCCTACTCCCATTTTAAAAAGCAGATTTGTGCATCTATTTATCTATATTATAGCTAGTGAGGCTCTCTTACCATCTTATGGGTCCCATGGATCAAACTCAGGTTGTCAGACTTGGCAGCAAGAGCCTTAACTTATTGTGTTATCTTCCTGGACCTGATTTATTGTTTTCAGTCAGGGTCTTTCTGTGTAGCCCAGGCTGGCCTCAAACTTGAGGCCATTATACTGCCTAGGCCCCTTGAATACACATGAGCTGCAGGGTGTGTTTATTTAGACACTAGGGCTCCTTTGTAGCTCTCCCCAGTCCCAACCTCAGCCCCTCCAGTGCTAGTGTTACAGGCTTGAGCCACTTTTGTTTTATGTTGTGGAGTTCTGACCCTCTTTGAAGAACCTTTTTTTCTTTTTTCTTTTTTTTGGGGGGAGAAGGGGTTTTGATAAGCAGTGTAGCAGGTAAAAGTGCTTGCCACTGAGTTTGACACTTTTAGTTTATCCCCAGGACCTACATGGTGGAAGGAGAGAACAGATTCTCCCAAGTGTCCTCCTCTTAATCTTACACGTGCCATGATACACATGTGCCCCTGCCCCAAACATAAATAAAGGTAAATTAAAAAAGTAAATTGGGGGGGATAGAGAGATGGCCTTGTTGGTAACCTTCTTACCTTGCAAGCATGAGAGTTTGAGTTTGGATCCTTAGGATCCACTTTAAAAGTTGGGTGCAAGCCAGGCATGGTAGCTTAATCCCATGGAAGACAGGTGGATCTCTCTGAGTTTTAGGCCAGCCTGGTCTGCAGAGTGGATTCTAGACTATACAGAGAAACATAGTTATTATTAATACCCTGTCTTTGAAGAAAAGAGTCTAGAAAAGCAGTAGAGTCAGTGAGTGGGCCGTTCGGTGGAGAGCACTAACCTAGCGTGTGCAAGACTCTGGGATCTGTCTCTGGCACCGCACAAGAAGTGACAAGGAAATCAAGCCAGCTTTGGTAGCACGCTCTTGTAAGCCCGGCATTGGGGAGTCACAGTCACATTCCAGGTTTTCCTGGGTTATAAAGCAAGACCCCGTTCCAAGAAAACCAAACCAGCTGGGTGGGAGATAGAGGCAGGGGGAATCCCTGTGAGTCCCAGGAGTTCTGGCACAGCCAGGGCTATACAGATAAGCCCTGTCTCTAAAAACAAAGAAGGGGGGAGGGGGTGGCTGGAGAGATGGTTCAACCATTAAGAGCTCTGGCTGCTCTTCCAGAGGATCTGGTGTGATGACATCTCGCTTGTACAAATAAAGCCTGTCTGAAGGTCAGAGAATGGAGCTTGCCACTAGCTGACCATGGAGGCCTACACAGGCAGACAGGAAGTGAGACAGCTGGGCAGAAACAGGAGATAAGCAGAGGAAAACTCACAACCAGGCACCCACATGGCAGCTCACACTTGTCGGTAACTCCAGTTCCAAGGCTTCTGACACCCTCATACACATACACACAGGCAAAACACCAGCGAACATAAAATAAAAATAAACTTTAAAAAAAGAAAGAAAAAAAAAAAATAAACCAAACCAAATCTAACCAACTGGGACAACAGTACATCCTAAGGAAACTCACTTGACAGAGACTGGAAAGGGACTGAGAGGCACAGCTTAGGGTCCTAGAGGCCAAGTCCCTTCATGGTACACTTGCTTTCCTAGCTGTCCACTCACATTTGCAAACAACTACCAGCTTTTTAAGGCATGGCAGAAAAAACTTAGCTCTGCTTGGCCTATGGTGCTAGCCTAATGTTCACAGGTTTCCTAATCAAAGCCTCCATAAGACCATTTGGATTTCGAAGGAGGCATCAGCTGGGGGCCAGAGAAATAGATCAGATCAGATGCTGTTCCTTCTGTTTTAGTTTTACTTCTATGTTTGAGGTTTTGGGGGTGGAACTTAGGGCTAGGCCAGTACTTATTGCCAAGCAACACCACCAGCCTTTAGTTTTATTTATTACAGATGATAATGTAGAAGCGAGTCTGTGTATGGATTATTAATCATCATGAGAAAGTAGCTACCTGTGAACTCACCACACAACTGTTCTCAGCATCCCGAGAATCCCATGGTGTTCTTCAGGTGTGTTTAGTCCCTGTTCCGTCCCTGGCTTTTCCAGATGCCTGGCTTCTCTGGAAAAGGGTAGCATTTAAGGATCCTTTCCCTTCTCAGACTGCCAGGGTACTAACTGCCAGCCGGTCTTGTTTGCTGCACTTGACCTACCCTGGGGCATGTTGGCAAGCGTCCTGATCATGAGTGGGCCATCTGTCCCTTGCAGGCCAGGCTGGGAAGCTGATGTACGTGATGCATAACTCAGAGCACCCCCTGAGCTGCTTTGCTCTCTTTGAGAATGGGCCTTGCCTTATCGCTGACACCAACTTCGATGTGCTCATGCTGAAGCTCAAGGGCTTTTTCCAGAGTGCCAAGGCCAGCAAGATTGAGACCCGGGGTACTCGCTACCAGTACTGTGACTTCCTGGTGAAGGTGGGCACAGTCACAATGGGGCCCAGTGCCCGTGGCATCTCTGTGGAGGTAAGACCTTGGTGAGGACAAGCAGAATATGCTGGAAGTTTTCCCAGCCCTACTTAGTATCTCTTCTGCCTCTACTACAGGGATCTTTTGTTGGGGGTCAGGAGGCAGACTCATGTCTCAGGCCTTGAACTTACTGTGTAGCCAAGGATGATAAATTTATGGCCCTCCTGCTTGGACCCCCAAGCACTGAGGTCTCAAGGGTGTACCGATATACCCAGCCTCCTTCTATATGTCGTTTGTTTAAGATAGTCTCATTCGGCTTGAACTCTGGGCCTTCACCTCCGAAGTTCCAGGGTTACAGGTGTTTTTCACCATGTGTTTGTTTTTTTGTTTTGTTTTGTTTTGGTTTTTATCCTGAAGATGCAGCACAGGCTTGAGAGGGAGTGGGGGGAGATGGGGGGGGGGTCTTAGTCTAGCGTGGCTATGAATCCCTGTAATCCTTCTTAGCCTACAAAGTGCTGGGATTATAGGAGTGAGCCAGCATGCCTGTTTCCCTAAGAGATTTTTAGGTGTATTTTTTATTTGTGTGTATGGGTATTTTGCCTGTGTGTGTCTGTGTGCCACATGTGTTCAGTGCCCACAGCGGCCATGAGAGGGCACCTGATTGATGCCCTGGAATTGGAGTCAGACTTTTTTAAGTTGTTAGTCACCACAGGTGCTAGGAGCCAACTCCAGTCCCTAGAGCGCCAAGTGATGGCAGCTATTGAGCACCTCCCAGCACCCCTCCAGGATTCTTTTGTCTTTTCTTAGCCATTCAGTCTCTGGCCTGGCATTGAAGTGGATTCACATCAAGTCAAAAGCTTAGAGAGGCTTGCTTGCTGGAAAGCTGAAGGCATGCATAGTCCAGGAAAGCAGAGGAGTAAGGATGTAGACACCCCAACCACCCTTCCCAAGAAGGGCGTTCTGAGGGGTGTTTGGGAGTGGGATGTCAGTCATGTGCCTGTGTACCCTTTCTCAGTGTGTTATGAGAGGCCTCCAGAGCTGTGAAACAAAACATATTATACCTTTCCTTTTAGCATTTGTCAGTTTTCATGGTGGACAAGAATATGCAAATGAGATGCCTTCATCTAGTTGTTTTTTAGTCAAAAATATTGCTACGTTTGTTTATTGTTGTGTAGCTGTATATATGCACAGCTGTATATATGCATCAGAGCAATTAGTTCTTTCTTCCTACCATGTGGGCCCTGGGGATTGAACTTAGGTCATCGGGCTTGGTGGCAAGCTTCTTTATTGGCTGATAGCCTTCATCTTTGAACCTAAATAGGTAAGGATTGAAAGTGGAATGTGGGGAATATGGTGGTAGGTAGTTATAGAAGTGAAAGCCCAAAGCCTATCATGTGTCCAGTAGTAACTGAGATTTAAAAAAAGCAAGGTAAGACAGATAAGCTTGCAGGCAGTGGTGGCATACACCTTTAATCCCAGCACTCAGGAGGTAGAGGCTGGTGAATTGCTTGAGTTCTAGGCCAGCCTGATCTACAGAGCAAGTTCCAGGACAGCCAGGACTGCACAGAGAAACCCTGTTTCAAAAACAACAACCCCCTCCAAAAAAAAAAAAAAAAAAGAGAAGAGGGAAGGAAATGCTCTGGCTTAGGGATTGAGGGGTTCAGGCTGTTGAGAGGCCTGCTGAGTGTAGTTGTGACTTCCTTGTAAAGCAGTGTAAGGAATAAGGAGTCCCAAGGCTGGGAGAGCTGGTACATGCCTCCTGTCTCCACACTTATGAGGTGGAGGCCAGAGGGTTCTGAGTTTGAGGCCAGCTTGAGCTGCAGTTAGATCCTGTCACAAAGTAAAAACCAGAGGAAAGTGGGTCTGGGACGCATCCTAGGTTACTTCACAAAAGGACCAAATGGCAGTTGTTGTTTTTAAGGAACCTCCAGGGACAAGATTGTCTAAGTCTGTTCAGTTGTGACTCTCAGTGGTGCAGTGGCAGAGGGAGGGAGAGAAACAAGCCTCACCCTTGTCCTTACCCTTGCTGTCTGTCCTTCCGTCCCAGGTGGAGTATGGCCCTTGTGTGGTGGCTAGTGACTGCTGGAGCCTCCTGCTTGAGTTCCTACAGAGCTTTTTAGGCAGCCACACACCGGGGGCCCCCACAGTATTTGGGAGTAGACACGATGCTGTGTATGGGCCAGCAGATACCATGATACAGTACATGGAACTCTTCAACAAGATCCGAAAACAGCAGCAGGTGCCAGTGGCGGGAATTCGTTAGTGATTGGCCGCTGCCCACCTTCTGAGCGGTCACCAGAGTACTGCCCAGGAGGAGCAGGTGCCGTACACAGGGCCCTGGGGCCCTGGACTCTCCCTGACCCCGTCACAGCTGTTTTTTACTTCATGCCTTAACTGGATGTGGCTTGTCCTCAAGAATGGAAATTGTGAAGAATGGAGAGGCGTGGGCTTTCCTGCTGTAGGGTAAAGGTACGACAGGCTTGCCCCTGCCAGCCCTGAAGGTGAAAATGGTCTGTGTCCCCGGCCCTAAGGATCTGGTATAGCCCGCAGTGGCCACACGGTGCAGTGTGGCTGTGCCGGGTGGAGTCCCCTTTAGCTTGAGGATGTGGCTGGCCTCTTCTGGAGATGGTTGGGTGACGTGACTGGATTGCTCTCCATGTCTGCCCTGTTGGCTGCAGTGATCTGAGAACCAAGTCAGTTGGAGTGTTGCTTTCATCCTTTGAACGCTGATGGTTTCCCTTTCTGCTTTGATTGTGTGAACTCATAGGCTAAGGGTTCTTACTGCACATTTTACTTCTTACCTAATAGTTTAGAGGCTATCAGTTCCTCAGGGCGGAATTAACTCTAGGGTTAGCACAAACTAGGCCTCTCATGTCTGTTCGGTTGCCCCAGTGATGTGGTTCTGACCACAGGGTGTTAAGCACACTCGTTGGCTCCACATTCACATCCACTGAGCAGAGGGGGTTGCTCAATCACTGCAGGCATGCTATCCTGACTCTCGACACTTGGTCTGTTTAGTTTTCTGCACCATGCCTCACAAGTGGTCTTCTCGTCACGGTTGAGCCTTGGAGTCACTCGTTGATACCATTGCTTACCTGCCTCACACCTGCTACGGAAACAGTGAACCAGGCCAGCATTTGAGATCTACATAGATAGGCTTGAGGAAATTGCTAATATACCAAGTGTAGTGTGTCACCGAGGACTCTGTCCTCAGTGGACAGCTAAGCAGACTTTCTGGAGCATGTTTCTACAGCAGCTGGGATATGCTGCTCATGTTTACCCTAGCGATGGCTGCCAGGAAAGCTCAGTATACCTTCCTGGCTGGAGAATCTGTTGTCCACATTGTTCACTGTTACTTCCCTTTGCTTTTGTTGTTAATGTTTGTTTATTTTTGCACTTTAAAAATTGAGGTATGTTTTAGATATCACAATAAAATCTACAAATATATTTTGGCCTTCTGTTCCATATTTGGTCTTATTTCAGTCTATCTACTTTGTACTTTCTATAGGTTGCCTCCAATCTTTTGTGGATGAGACAGTGAGCAGGCAGAATTTTGAACATATGTGCTCCTAAAAACACTGAAGTTAAATGCAGTAAACATGGACTCTAGGCTCCTATATAAGAAGCGGCTCAGTTCCTAAAAGATAAAGAGAAGCATGCACAGGCAATGTCTTGTTAGTTGTAGTTGGCTTCCTTGCACATTTCCAGTATTATTCATTTTAGTGGTTTTCTTTTTTGAAGATTTTAAGTGTGTGTGTGTGTGTGTGTGTTGTGTGCATGTAAGTACAGTGCTTGAGGAAGCCAGAAAGAGGGCATTGGATCCCCTGGAGCTGGAGTTACAAACAATTGTGAGCCTTTTGACATTCCTCTAGAAGTAGACACTTAATTCCTGAGCCATAGGCTCCTTTTTGGTTTTTCGAGACAGTTTCTCCGTGGTTTTGGAGGCTGTCCCGGAATTTGCTCTTGTAGACCAGGCTGGTCTCAAACTCACAGAGACCTGCCTCCCCCCCCCCCCAACCTCCCCATGCTGGGAATAAAGTCGTGCGCCACCAACACCCAGCACATAGACTCATTTTTAAGGGTAACTTAAATTATACTGAACTTTCTTTGGAGTCCATTCAAAAGAGAATTTAGCCCAGCACACCTTAAATCCCATCATTCAGGAGGCAGAGACAGGAGGAGCTCTGAGTTTGTGGCTAGCCTGGTCTACATAGTGAGCTCTAGTACATCCAGGACTACATAGACACTGTCTTAAAAAAAAAAAAAAAAAACCAGTAAGAAAGAGACTTTAAGGCCTGCAAGGTGGCTTGGCAGGTAAAGGTACTTGCCACTCAGCCAAGTGATCGTGCTCAGTCCAAGTGAGGTGGAAAGGGGGCCGGCTGGGCAAAAATGCTGACTTCACCAGGCACAGCGGCCATGTGTGTACTTAACTCTCGTATGCACACTCGAGAGCGTGCATGTGCACACACACAGCGAGTGCTTTAAAAGGGAAATTGCCTAGGTTGTCCTGGAGCTGAATTTAACAGTGGGAATCTTGTATGGGAAAGGCAAGGCTGGGGTGGTGACAGGTGCGCAGGGGCTGCCAGTTGAAGGGATGAGAACGCTGGTTTAGGAGCTAGCTACAGTACTGGGCACACACATGTTGCTGTGAGGGGGCAATGTCTGAGAATTATTTTTCCTCCATGTAGTCCCTGAATCAAATCCAGATTGCTAGGCTTGGTGGTGTTTCATAGGCTGAACCATCTTACCAGCACCAACCTTAAATCGTGTGTGTGTGTGTGTGTGTGTGTGTGTGTGTGTGTGTGTGTGTTGTTTACTGTGTGGAGGTCAGAGGACAACTGGCAGAAACCTGTGCTCTTCTACCATGTGCACCCAGGGAGGGACCTGAAAAGGCAGGCTTAGCCTCAAGTGCGTTTACCCACTGGGCCATCATGCCTTTTTATCATCAGTGCAAATGGCATTCCCACAACAAAGACCGACTCCTTTCAATATTATTTTAAAACTAACTTGGGTCTCAGGGAAGCTCTGAAAGGATCTTAAGAATCTGTGCGTCCCCTGTGGCACAGACTCTGGGAACCACAGGTGTAATGTGTGCATACAGTTTCCCTCCTAGCTCTACTGAGCGCACGACTTCCGCAATTAGTGGCTTCCAGACGCCTCACTCAGAAAAGCACCTTGATAAGAACACTGAATAAGATACTAAACTGTCTTCTCCAAGACAGTTGTTGGGAGCTGGGGAAACAGGGGGAAACAGCTTTACAGTTTTTATTATTATATTCACTTAAGGTAAGGAGTTACAACTTAGAATTCCATAAAGAGAACTATTAAAGTTAACATGGCCTCCACCATGGGAACTGAACCCTCAGCTCCCCTCCCAGGAGGCGCTCTCCTCCTGTGCTACATTCTAGTCATGGACTTGTTGAATTTACCATGCAGTCTATAGAGTCTTACTAACTCAATGCCGTCTTCCTGCCTCTGCCTCTTGATTGCTTTGATTACCGCGATCGGCTTTATTTTTTAATCTTGCCGGTTTTGCTTCTTTACTTCATATTTACAGATGTCAAGCCTTGAACCACCGTAGCACATAAATGTACATTTATTTCTTTTTATTTTTCTTAAACTTATAATGGCGTTACCCGCCTTAGCCTTGTCGTGGGCGTTGTCACACTGTTTATCTTATTTGGAGGGATCCTCCCCCGCAAGGTCTGTCAGGACAGTGTGCCCATGAAGCTTTCCTACCTTGCAAGCGAGTCTTTCCTTTCTGTTTCAGAATGGACTTCATCCTTCTCGGAAGTCCTTAGGGCCACTGTCACCTCGGTCTGATTTATTTCCCAGTCCCCATTTGGATTTTCACAAAACAGCTGAATCCCGCGTGGGTCATCAGTGGCAAAAGTCCACACACGTGTGTGCTTGTCTGGGTGCCAAGAGTAACTAACTTGCAAACGCTGCCTTAAGAAACTCCTGGCTGCCGCTGCTCCGTAAAGAAAATACCAAACCCCCAAAACAAGCAGAGTGGGAAAGGCCTCCTCGGAGCGGTGAGCCACAGTGAGGTAAGCTTCAGAGTAAGCGGAACCCGCGCTGAATTCCTTTACAAATCCCAGGGAAGGGGTGGTGGTCTCGGGGAGAGTGCCTGGCCCTTTAAGGAGGAGGGCCAGACACTAGACTCTGCACCTTTAAGAGTCTCTTTGTCTAGAAATCTTCTGTACCCTCCTGTGCTTCAACCGAACTTTGCCGGCGACTCTCCCGCGCTACTCCGCGCCCGCCCTCTCCCGCCGGCCGGCCGTCGGTCGCGCGGTCGCGGCTGTCCCGAAACTCGGTGCCCGCGGCGCGAACCCGCGGAGAGGGCGCCGGGGCCAGGGGTCGCAGCCGGGAGGCGCGCCGTTGGCGCAATGCGGGGTCCTGGGGGCGGGGGCTCCGGCAGGCGGGCCAATGGGCGGCAGGGGGCGGGGCCGCCCGCTGGTCTCCGCGCCCTGGTGACAGCTCGCGCGTGCTGATGATGGCGGTAAATAGAGGGGGCTGGGGAGGGGGCGGAGGGGCCGGCGGAGCGCCGAGGGGGCGGCCCGGGGGGCGTGGGGGGCCGGGGGCTGGAGCCCGCGCGGACATTCGGAGGCGGGGACACCGCGGCCCCGGCGCGCCGGCCCTCCCCTTTCACCCGAGAGAAAAACCCCCGCACACACCGGGTGAGGGGCGACAAAGGCGGCGCGCGCCTGGCGGGCGGGAGGAGCGGCGGCAGGGGGCGGGACCGCGACGCTGGCGGGCCTGGGGCGCCCGGGGCGGGGACGACGGGCGGCGACAGCGAAGGCGCGAGCCCCGGCCGGCCGGCGCGCGGGGCGCTGCGCGTTTTGGCGGGGTGGGCGACGTCTGGGTTCTGAGGTGAAAGCCTTGAGGGGGAGAGAGGGGAAGGCAGGCTGCGGGGAGGGAGGGGGCGGCTGCGGAGTTGGAGATGAGCAGGGTTAGGAGAAAGGGTTAGAAGCCGGCGGACGCAGGCTGGCCCGGGATGAGCTTAGGAAGCCCGGGGCTGGGAAGAGGGATCCGGGGTCAGGGCTAGGAGCAGGGGTCGGAAGAGGCAAGGCTTGGCAGGTGGGCGGTGTTGGGGTGAGGGCTACCGAGGGCAGAAGAGTTGCAAGTGGAAGACAAGGAGCAGAACCGCGTAATAGTTGGGAGTAGGAGAGAGAGTGATTAAGAGCCAGACGTGACAAGGGTGTGAACTAGTGCGGAGCCAGGGATGAGCTGAGGGGCTGGGATCCGCTGGGGTGGGATCCA